TTTAACTGAGAACAAGGACCCTTCCTTTGAGTACTAGGCATAGGAATACAAAAAATGATCACAAGTCTGTGTTCTTATGAAGCTTTTATGCAGTATGTGTGTTGGGGGTATCTTGTGAGCCTCCCAAGGTCAGGTGAGATACTTCGCACATTTTTTGCTTCCTTTGTAGATGCTATCACAGGGAAGGGTTGCACTGCAAAAAGATATTTGTTGTGATTAAGACATGACCACTGGAATTAGAGTTTAGACCAACTTGTAGATCTGCCACCTAATACTTTGAGCAAGAAGTTGCTCCAGGCTCAGATTCCTCAACTGTAAAATGAGTATGATGATATGACAGACCACAGAGAGTTGCTGAACAATCAAATGAGGTAATGTGACATAGTAAAATTCCTAGGATATAATTAGCTTGCAATAAATACTTTGAAATATCATTGATTGTGATATGTGTTTTTGAGTAATGGTTAAAGTAGTATTTAAGACAAAGTTATTTCTTCCTATGGTAGCACTGGTTTACCTCTCTCTATTACTTTAGGCAAAAATAGTGGAAAGGGAACAAATATTTACTAAACACTTTCTGTAAGCCAGACTGTGAACTAGGTCTTTAATTCATGCAGTCCTCACAACAACACTGTAGAGTTACATTATACCTCCTTTACAAATGAGGCCCCTGAGTCTGGAAAGAAAAACCTCCTCAGAACAACCTAACTTTAAGTAGAATCAGGAATAAACAAAAATCAGTCAAACTCTCAAGCCCTCTGGTCTGGGTCTTCCACCCAAAGAGAATGTGAATCAAACATTTATTGTGGAGTTTCCTGGAAACTGATAGGGAGCAAAGCTGACACGGTGAGGTACTCCCTAGCAAGGAAAAATCTTTCAGGTTGCCCCTGTAAATCATGAACACAAAGTAGAGATACAAACATTAAGGAAAATGTAAAAAGGCAGGGTTAGATGCAACAAGAACTGGCAGGATTTAGAAAATAGGATAAAAGTATAGCGTTACAAAAAAGAAGTTCAACTTGGATGTACCAAAAATATCAAAGGGCATGAAGGCTATGGTGAAAAGAAAGGAAGATGAAGTGATCAAACGGTAACAAAATAACAAAGAAGTAAGAGCAAGGTGTTAAATGTGGAAGAGATTAAATAAGAAAATCTGAAAAAACCCGACATCTCTAAAAAAAGATAACCTACATAATAGAATAGTAAAACATTTCAAGCTGTAAATCAGATTCTTCTTGCCACCTCAGGAGAGTACCACAGCAAGATAGCTCTTGCAACAAGGATTTGTCAGTCCCTAGGGACCACCTCAAATCAGGCTTTTCTGAACTGAGTCAGCCTCTGCCTAGAGAGCAACATTCTGGATAATAAGATTTATTCTTTAGGTATAAAAGCCATGTATTTTTTAGTAAAAAGGAGGAGAGTATTTATATCCACAAATTTAAAGATACAGCTTGTCCCTGTGGGTGGGGAGAAGATATCATAGAACAACTGTTTGACCAGAGATTTTAAAAAAAGGAATCCCTTTAGAAGCCTGAAAAAAAAAAATATTGAGACACTTATAGAAAATGAAAAAAAAAATCAGTGATAGAAAAGCAGTAAAGCATTGCCAACAATGTTCTCAAGGGAAAAAAATGTGACCCAAGGATTTTATAATCCAACCATAGAAGTATAAAAGCAGGTAAACATTTCTGAACATGCAAGGTCTCAGTGACTATAGCTTTTGACTTGAGGAAACTACAAGAAACAAATATTACCCAAGTGAAAGGAGGAAGTCAAGGCCCCATTAAAAGAGCTGCTAGACACTTTACGAATTTTACTCAAATGACTGAGGGAAAAACAACTAGAGTAAGTGTAGGACAGAGATTTTATTTACACACCAGAATGTAAAAAATCAATTAGTATAATGGAGAGACAACATACAGAATAGGAAAAGTATTTTCCAACTATTCCCCAGATAAAGGACTAATTCTAGAACACAGTATATAAAGAACTAAGAAAAACCAAACCACCTAAAATAAAAGACCTATCTGAGCAACTTCATTGAAGATAATAATGTGTAATATAACAAATACTGTTAATTCTTATCGTCTTATTTTGAAATTCTGTATCATTTTTATTGTTTTTGTATTGTTTTGTTTGTGTCTTCATTGTTGTTATTTTGTTATTGTTTTTTCTCTTTAAAATAAAAAATAAATAAAAGACCCAGTCAAAAAGTGAACAAGTGAAATGAACGGATGCTTCACAGAAGAAGTAAAGAAGGTCAACAAAGATACGAAAAAGTATTCAACATCTCTAGCCCTTAGGGAAATACAAATTAAAAATAAATTGAAAAATTTTTTAAAAACCTCAAAGATTCCATCTTACTCCGGCAATCATCAGGAAATCCAAAAGTAACAAATGCTGGCAAGGCTGTGGTAGAAAAGGAGCCCTCTTACAGTGTTAGTGTGAATGTAAACTAGTACAACCATTACAGAAATCAGTGTGGAGATTTCTCAAAGGACTAAAATTAGAAATCCCATGTGACCCAGGTACCGCCCTTCTAGGTCTTCCCCAAAGAACTTAAGTTCATACTACAGTAAACATGCATACATGATGTTTCTAGCAGCACAATTCACAATAGCTAAATCCTGGAAGCACTCCTGCATACATATAAACAGGACAATTGGAATAGAAAATATGTTATCTATATGTAATAGAATACTACTTGGCTATAAAGGACAAATTTGAGACATTTGTAAGAAAATGGATGTACCTGATAAGTATGTTGAATGAAATAAACCAGGCACACAAGTTTAAATACTGTATGATATCTCTCATTTGAGTAAGTCAAAGTACAAAGAGATTGGTAAACGGTGGATAGAAGGAGAGAGGGAGATGGATTTCTCGCAAATGGGAAAGGGCCCGAAGAGGCTAAGTGTGAGGAGGGGAAGGGAAGATAAGTAGAATAAAGGTATGCCACGTACAGGCACCTAATAACCTCAATGAACGTAAACATTATATGCCATAACATGAGCTAAGATTAACAATATCAACAAGAATGAAAATGGGCCCAGAACTTGAGCAGCTGAGGAAGAAGATTGCCTTAAGTTTGAGGTCAGCCTGGGCTACACAGTGAGTTTAAGGCCAGCCTGAACTGCATGGCAAGATCCTGCCTCAGGAAAAAAAAATTTTTTTAAGGTGAGGGGTTGGGGAAAAGGGGATGAGAGGAAAAGTGGGGGAAGAGAAAGGGGAAGGGAATTTTAAAAAGAAACAAATTGCATTATGTACATGTACCCTCTCCCCAAAATGATCGTAAACTTCATGTTATGCAAACATGTACTAATAAAAAAACTGCATGTATGCTCACCATAGATCTATCCATTCTCCCAAGTATTTATCCAACAAAAAAGGAAACTATGTCCAAACAAGATTTGCTCAAAAGTAGTAGCAATTTCATTCATGATGGCCAAAACCTAGCAGCAACCCAAACACCCACTAATGGGAGAATAAATAAAAATTTGTGATCTGCCCATACACATGGACTACTACTCAGCACTATAAAGAAACCACCCATTCATACATGTAACATCAATAGCGAGGTGGGTTCTATATGCCTACAATGATAAATTGTTTCATTTAAGCCTAGTGGAAACTAAGTACTATCGATGTTCCCGTTCTTAGGTGAGAAAACCGAAACTTGGAAACAGTGACCCACGGTGTAGGTCACCCTGCTGGTGAGTAGCAGAGGCAGGCAGCACAGGAAGTCAGTCTGAGGCAGCATCCTCACACAGTGTTCTGCAGGAAGCAGGATGCGCTTGAGCTCCTTGCACACACATGGCTCTCCTAGGAGAAGGGTAGGCACCACGCAGGATATGACCTCCAAAAATGAAAGCAGGCTTGGAGTTGGTGTAGACAGAGCAACTTCGGATGAGGAAGAAATTTTATTCTTTCTTTTCTTTTTTTTTAATATTATGGCCCAGGTGACTCACCCTTTCTTGCTTCTCAGCTCCAAATCCTCAGGTCTTAATCTTGGTGTGTCAGATCTGGGGACTCAATGGAGTGCTCCCCAGAGAGGCTGCCCTTCTGTCTCAAGGCACAGGTCCCTACAAGCAGCAGCTCCACCTGGGCACCCATTACCAAAGTGAGCTGCAATTTGATGCCCTTTTACTGTTTACTTCTGCTTTAATTACAGGGTTGGGGAGAGAGCGCCTAAGCTTTGCCAAAAACTTTGGTGACTTTTTTTAAAAGTCTTTCTTTCCAATTGTTGGGAAAGGCTCTTAGGAATGGTTTTGGAACTGAGCTCGCTGCTGAGTTGCCAGGGTTTGGAGATCTCTGCAAAGGTCATTGTTTTTTATAAAGGTCATTGTCTTTTCATGAAAACCCCGGCAAAGCATGCCAAAGCAGGAAGGCCACCAGCTTGCCAAATGTCCGGTGTCCCAGTCACCTGCTCTTCCTGCCCTAGGAAGGATGTGGACTGATCTCTGGAGTAAAGACATCAGATCGGGTTTGTTCCTTTCTTGCTCTTAAATCAGCTGCAAAATGCATGAACAAAGCACACACAGAACGGTTCTCAGCGCCCTGTGCCGCCTCCTCGTTAAGCGCCGGCAGCTGCTGGGTGTTGCACAGAGCAAGATAAGCAATATGACATTTGCAGCCGTTCACATCCTGAGTGTGGAGCATTGTGCTCTCAACGGAACCTCTGAGGCCTCAAGCCTGAAGAATGCCCTACAAGTCAAAATACAGAAAATTTGTGCACTTTGGGTAGGGTAGGGTAGAGGTCGCCAGCAGGAGCCAGGGACGGGCAGAATCAAGCAACCAAGTCACGAGTCACTAGCTCTTCGGAAAAGTGGCTCTGCTGACAGGACAACGAGGGCAGGATGATTTTGGCAAGCCCCATGTTGTGTTAGCTGCACAAACTTTTTCCTTCCTCTTAGCAGTCTGTTAACATTTGGGTGGGGGCTTCTCTTCACATTCATGTAGAGACTGCTTCCTGTCACATGTCCTGCACCGAACTCCATGGCAGGTCGGCTGAGCACGCCCAGCTCCACAGGCAACTCAGAGCCACATGTAGCTCAGAAAGATTTAAACGCGCAGCTTTCTTGCACTGGCAGCATTTTCACATTTCCCCTTTCTTCAGTTTTTCTACATTACTTGAAGTGACTCTTATGCTTACCTCAACACTGTGCTTTGAAGAAAAATATGGGGGAGAGGAGGAGGTACCCAATGTGTCACCAGGGGCAACCTGCATTTGATGGGAAGCTGCTGGGCCCAGTGAGTACACCCTGATTGGACCTTCTTCCCTTCCCAGGCCAGCCTCTGACTCCCCTCTCTATGGGAAAATATTGATTTTAGACTTCTGGATATTAAAATTATTTCCATAAGTTCTCACCTACTTTCCTGTCTATTGCAAGATCCTCTGTGTTCTTATCCTTTCTTCTTATACCCCTCCTCAATATAGTTCTCACTAGGATTCTGCATCTAAAAGACCAGCACCCCCAAAAGAGCCTGCCTAGGCCTCACACCAACCCCTGCACCCAGGCCAATGCCCCTAGAGTGTTCTCGTCACCTGGGGGTAGGACCAGGGCAGCACCCCAAATACAGTAGGAGCTATGCTGTGCAACAGTACTGTAGAAGATGCTTTTGGTAAAACAAAAACTCTCCAAAGGGGATATATATGACTAAACAGGTAAAATAGATGAAAACTCCCACTTAATGCAGATGTAAATATATGTGCATATATGGGATCTTCCATCCCACTTATTCTTCATTTATTCAGTTTATGTCCATTTGTTATCTCCTATGTATCAAGCATAGTTCCAAGCACTGGAGACTTAGGGGGAGGTTATCAAATTCTCTCTCTTTGGAGCTGAAATTTTTGGTGGGGTAAAACAACAACAAAAGTACATAAATGTCCATTTCAGGATATGACAAGTGACATGAAGAAAAAGTAAACTGGGGTAAAAAGTGGTGGGGACTGAGGTGACAGTTTAGGTGAATGGTTAGGGAAGCCCTCACTGAGAAGGTGACGGCTGAGCAGAGTGCTGAAGGAAGCAGGGTATGAACCATAAAGACATCTCGGGGAAGCACTTCGAAGGCAGAGAAAAAGCAAACACAAATAGCCTGAGGCAGGAACACACTTGATAGGTTCAAGGAGCAGCAGGGAGCCCAGCATGGCTTCCGTGCAAGGAGTGAGGAGGGAGGGAAGTAATGAGGTTATAGAGGGGAAGATTCTGGGGGCTGGGGATTTAGCTCAGCCGCACAGCCCCTGCCTGGCAAGCGCAAGGTCATGAGTTCAATTCCTGGTACTGGAAAAAAAAAAAAACAAAACAAAACAAAACAAAAAACCTTGGGAAGGGAAGATTCTGGCGAGCTTCATAGGGGACAGGCACCATCTGACTGCTGGTGATGCTTGGCTACTGCCAAGAAGGGGTTGAGCATTTAGGGACAAAAGCGGGGAGTCCAGTTCAGAGGCAGCTACAGTAATCTCAGCCAGAGACAATGGTGTTAGAACAAGGCAATCTCTGTGCCGATGGCAGGAGAGGACAGTGTCTGGCTATACGGAGAAAAGAGAGCTGTAGTATTTGCTGATGGCTTGGGTTTTCTAGATAACCTTGGTCCTGAAATTTCAGGTAATAGCGTAGACTTACTGGTCAGGCAGAGGAGTAAATGTCTCAGAAATGGAGGCTTCTTGAACCCTCGCTCTTAGGCAAGAGGCCAAGGACCTATGCAACTACCTTTCACAGAAAATTTTCTTATAAGGCTTCAGAACAAACTTGAATCATTTCCACCCCCCTTGAGCCCCTTGCAGAAGGAGATCCCAAGTATGTGCAGAGCACAGTGACTCAGCAGAGGAGGACCCAGGAGCGGGGGAGTCTCCACACCCTCCCTGGCAGCCCTGCTCCTCAGAGCTCTCAGTGAAGGTACAAGTCCAGGAATGGCTCAGCCCTGAACTTCCTCAATGGGATCCCGGATGCAGCTGCTGGGCTGCAGCTACCAGCGTAGGAAATCTGAGTGGGAGCAGGCAGGAGATCCTGATGACCCTTTCAGCCTCAGGCTAAGCCAAGGGCCAGGCCACCATGGTGCTGCCCACAGTCCCTGCAGTCAAAAGCCCTTGATTTCAATTTCTACATTACAATGTCCACACACTGAAACTTTCAGCAAACCATCCTGGGCAGAGCCTTACCAAGGTCACTGCCTGGGGTTGGTCTGGGCTGCCGAAGGAAAGAGCCTGTGCTTAGCTCTTGTGCACCTGCACTGGGCGTAATCTATTTCTCTTCTGGTTGTCAAGGCAATGAGAACAACAGTGGCTGCAGAAAGCCCCTTAAGGCCACAGCCCATGCTGATCCTGACCAACACAGCCTGATCAGACCCTTCCTCCCTGTCTCTTCCCTTTTCTACTGTCCTCTGAGAGTAGTGTCTTCTCCAGAACCAATCGCCTACCTGCCCTCTCCCTGAGTGAACATGGTCCTCCAAGCCAGATCGGCAGAGCGCTTCTCAGCACCCTGGATTCCCGACTCCCAGCACCCCAGAGGGAGGGTGGAGGGGACACTGCATCCTGGCATGGAACATAGTGCCGCCCTGGAACGCTCTGGAAGCTGGTTTCTTGAAAGGACAGAAGAAGGCAGTTTCCCAAAATGCAGTCACACTTGGCTGCTGACCCCCAGAGCTTGTACCCAAACACATGTGGACTGGCTGCTGCTCTCATTAAAAGCTTTCACCTCAGGAGAGGTACGGGACCCACGGGTCCTGCCCATCTAGAGGGAATTAGTGTGGCAAAAGTTCCACGGGGAGGAGACACATGATTATGGTAATTTATGACAACAGCTAATTGTGGTGGAAAAGACTGGGAAATGGACAGCCTGTCCCACCCATCAGCTCACAAGTAAACAACAGGGGCCAGAGGTGCAGCAAAGCACATGTACAGCCCATGTGGAACTGTAGTGATCAAGGCTCACAGTCAGAGGCTCACAGTCCTCCCTCAGGCAGTCATCCAGACTGCACTAAGAGGATCTCAGCGTGAAGCTGGGGAGGTGGGTTACCTAGGTCCTTCTGTCAGACCTGGATCCACTGTGGGGTTAACCCCTGACAGTGAGACAGGAAGGCCCTTTTGTGCTATTCTGCTCAGTTTTCTCCATAATTCCACAAGGTAGATGATGTTACAAATGAGAAAATCAAAGTTCAGAAAGCTTAAGTGACTTGCCTGAAATCACACAACAAGCAAAGAGCAGGACTAACTAGAATTTAAATCTACATGTCCTGTTTCATATAATATTGCATTATTGAAAGGCTTATGTAAAGTGCTAAGTTCCTTGATTATTCTACTTAGCACACAAAATGAGAGGTACCTTTTAGCTTGCTCATCTTGCCATAACTAAGTATCACATCCAGGGTAGCTAACAACAAAAATTCATTTTCCCATGATTATGGAGGTAAAATCTGAGACCTGTAACAGGGCAGGCTGGTTTCTTCCAAGGTCTCTCCCCTTGGCTTGTGGTCGGCATCCTCTCCTCTTACCTTCTTGTAATTTCCTTATGTTCCTGCCTATGTTATAATTTTCTCTTTTTTTTTATTTTAAGGAGAGTAGCAAATGAGAAACAAACAAACAAAAAAATTGAACAGTAGCAGCATAGCAGTGTCATGAACATAAACAAATCAGAGCAAGAACATTCAAAGTGATACAGAGTCTCAAGACAAAATAATACAAATCAACAGT